TATCGATAAACACTCAGAACTTTTAAAGCAATTTTACTAATGTATAAATGCTAAAAAACTGTATCACTACTTTATTATTTATATTACTACTTTTTTTTATATAGCACTTATAAACATGACGGTAAGGTGCGTCATGTTTATCATGTTATCATGTTCATAAGTGTCATAACAAATATGTAATTTGGGTTTCATCACTGTTATGAATGTGCGCCTGTGTAGCTAAATGGTTAAACGTGTTGCCTAGCATTGCGCTAAGCGCGAGAGTATTCCGGGGAAACACTAAATTGTTTCGGTCCAACAGGGCACAGAAGTCTGATCAACTACTTGCCTGTAATTAAAAACCGATCCGTGAAATGGACACAGAAATGTATTCGCCCTTTGCCCCACGAGTTATGAATGTGTGAAAAGTTAATGCAAAATATCAACGTGTTATTGATCTTGCACCGAGCTAAGCTCAAGGATTTGTTGATGGAAGATGCCCTAACCAAAATTAGCTGTCTGTAATTTCTCCAAATATAAACTACAACGAAACAGATGGGGCTAACATAAACATGACAGACAGACTGACATTAGAGACACCTTTTCCTTCACCTTGTGCAAAGCTTCTAAAACATTGCGCAGTAGTTAAAATAAATTGTAAATAAGTTAACTAAATATATTTCACGTTTCAAGAGATTTGATAGAGATCAAGTCCATTGGCCTTGAAAATATATGTAGCTATTTACATTGTATATACTTTTATTATATAACTATATTAGTTATTGAAGAACGGATATATTATATTTTCGCTATTTCACCTAACTTGCACGCTTTCTTCTCGTTCGTATTACGCCATGTTATCGCGACCTCTGAGACGCTGCGCCCAACCGCTTATTTCTACTTTAAAATTAGATGTACACTGCTCTAAACGTATATAGCGCCCTCATAGAACTTGGAAACAATAAAATGCATATTTTAAACAAGAGAAGTTTCAGATTGTTAGCGTTCAAGTTGAAACGGTGCGGTCATTTGTTGCAATTAGGGACGACAGATAGAGTAGGAGAAAAAACCTGCAACATCTTTGTCCTATTGAGACTCTCTCTAGCCGTATTCGATCTTCTAAGATACGATTATCATTTAAGGCAAATTATGTTCTAATTATATCTATAAACATCTTATAAAGAGTTTGTTTTATTGACGCTTATCGCAGGAACTAACTAACAAAAGGCTATCGCAGCGAAGAAACAGATCAAAATGTGACAAAAAACGGGAAGAATTATTCACTTTTCGAAAACGGTTCAATAATCAAAAGATATGTACATGTTAAAATGGTCCTTCTTTAAATGATCTAAAAAATGTCCACGTAATTTATAAAGATGAGGTTTGGAAAATTTTTTTTGATGCCCACTTGATAACTATTCCACGCAGACGAAGTCATAGCTAGTATTTATACAAAAATATACAATAAGTTTCATATGCTATTCGGTTTTACATAATATGAATATTGTACGTCTATATGACCATTGAATCCGGACAACCGTAATTCAAAAAATTCGTCCCATCTCATATCATGACAATGATAAACCGTTTTCTTTACCTTTTTACGTCGACCGACCCACAGATATCATAATTTAGAAGCGGACTCAGCAATGAAAGGCAAAACTTTTCATTTCTAATTTCGCTTTCAAGAGCCAAGGTACACTGTGTTATAGAGTGATGATAGATGGCGTAGATGTTAAGCAATGCGATGTCAGCGGGCGCGGGTTTTCCTTCGTACTTTATACAAAATATCATCAATACAGGCTACGTTTTGTGTTGTTATATAAAAGCAAACATACATACATAAGAGTAAACCCTTCAGGAATGCATTTAATTATTATTGTGGCGCCATCTATATGTCATAGATGTTGTAAAGTCAGCATACTAATTATTTAATACAAATGAATCTTAAATAAAACACTTTAACGGTTTAAACGCGATATATATTAGTTTACCGGGCCCGACGTTTTGGCTGCTGCAAGGCATCAATATATCGCGTTTGAAACAGCTAAAGTGCTATATTTAAATGTGTACTACTCGCGTAAACTACAGACGGTACAAATGATGCTGTTAGAATAACGAGAGAATACTTATTATATGTTTAATTTATATTTAATACGCCTCGATAAATATGAAATTGACACGTCACAAGGCTACGAGCTCTCGGCTCCCTCTATAGCTTCAAATCTACCTGAGGTACAGTCACGTACAATATTACACGTATGACAGCCTCAAGCTAATTTCACCGTTTGTACACGTGTGCACAAAATGACGTTCACGTTTATTAATTATGTACACAATTGTAAACATAATTTCACTGATATAAGGCCGGTTATGGCGGGAAGTCGTTTGTCATTTTTCGCGTGTCACTTTTAAGGGTGAACTTTGATAGTAAAATCCCGAATTAGTGTAACTTTTAAAGGGTAAAATAAATTGTGGTGTTGAATATAATACAATGTAATATGGTTCGCACTAGAAGATGCAGCCTACTGTCAACTCTTGAAGTTCAAAAGTACCGTTCAAGGAAAAAAATTGCTCAAACGACGTCATGTATTTATAATTTTATTTAAATGAATAAACATATAGCAATGGCCCTTTCTTGTGGTTTTATTATAATATAGTTTTTTTTCTTTTTCAGAGGACGCACAGACAAGCATGATGATGAAATGAGATATGATAGTTGAAATACCCCAGCTATATAACATTTCAACTTTTGTTGATTGTATCTTAATTTATAATTATGTTATCATCCATAGGACGTTACTGTGTTGATGCATCTTATATTGTGTGTGTTTTTTGGTGTGGATTAAGTCATTTGAATGTTAGAAAGAAAAATTGTCATTCCTCAAAGATCTATAAACTTAGCTTTAAGCGCCTGATTTATATGAAAAGCAATTCCCCCAAAATGATACATAACAATTTATTGCTTTAAGAATTTTTAGTTATTACGTTTTTATGTTGTTATTCATCAAAAATACTATTATATTATTGATGCTATCACAACACGGCTTAATTTTTGATGAAATTTGTTCATATTAATAAACAAAACAACCTCATAGCAACAAAGTCACACGTAACAACTTGCTGGTTCATACTTAGTTTTTGATAGAGTATTACTTATTCTTATATATTCTTTGACTGACTGAGTGAAACACTCGCTTTAATATATCTAATGAGACCTTACTTGTGTTATTGTTATTAAAGAAAAATAAAAGCCAGAATTCAGGGAAATGACTAATTTTATTTGCGTAACATATGTGCGTTGAAAACAAAAGGTTTGTTTAAGGTAATGGTATCCCTAATTAAAATGGAATTACATGACAACTGGTAAAACAAAGCCTACGTTAGATCTTTCAATTATATAGGACGTGTTTACTTAAGGACGGGTCGTATGTAAAATATTAAAAATATTTCATTTCGTGATTTTAAGTTATATCCAAAATATTATTTAACTTTAAATGTAATATAGTAAGCAAGTAAGTAAGGCATAATTTAAATTCTATTTGTTAGTATTATCTAAAAAGTATGAAAATGAACCCAAATAAACAGAATAAGTAGCGAGAATAAGCAGATACAAATATTAAAGGACAATTTATATTTACATCATTGTTTCTAAAGGAAATATCGCTGTTTTTTATGATAAGGGATTACCAGACCAGCGAGTGGAAGAGAACTTGGAGGAAGCTGAACTAGCCTAACCATATAACATCTAACATGATGCTATCTACTTGTTTTGACTTTGGATATTTAGAAATCCGTAGTCGTCCGTAAAGTCCGTAAGCGGACCGAAATTCGATGTTCCTACCACCAATGTCATATCCAGACGTTCCAGACGAAGCCCAACACAATAAGTATAAATTTCTTAGCAAAATATTTGACATGATGGGGATCGACTCAGTGATTTTATTAGCCAAACATTGCTACCATAAACGAATTTGTCGAAAGTTTAAGTAAGTTGAAGGTAAAAATTACTTGTAAATAAAGACATGTAGATTTAGCTGTTATTTGAAAGTGTTACGTACTAAGTATACGAGAAGCTATGAACAAAGCTTTGATTGTACTAATTATTATTATTTATATACCTACTATAAAACATCTCGTTAAAATAAAAACTAAATTCGTCAACTCGCGCCTTAACTTGATACGCATCGATTTCAACCCAGTTTTGATTTCAAGCCGATTCACCAATTAATTCCAAAACATAGTCAAAACTTTCGTTAATTAAATGAGAATTCTTAGCCTCGTTAAGAGTTATAAGAGACTTTTCAACATATTTAATTAGCGAGTAAGGTACAAGCTTGTTCGCGATAGATTTATATTGCTTTTTAAAACATTTAAGTAGGTACCTATTGATTTGTTCTGCTGTTTTTAAAAGTACGTTCTTGCGTTCAATCGTAAGCAACAAACTGAAATCATGTTCCATCTTTGTGTGGCAAAGGACAAACATTTTTTTGTATACGTTTCTTTTGTACAATTTTGAAAGTGTGTATAAGACAATGTACTCTAGTTAAATACTGTCTGTGGTTTACGCAAGTAGTACACATTTGAATAAAACACTTCAACTATTTAAAACGCGATATATATTACATAAACTTATTTGAATTTTTTTTTAAGTTCGGCCCGAAATTTCGACTGCTACAATAAGTTTAACTTATATACATATATCGCGTTTTTATCGTTAAAGTGTTTTATTTAAATGCACGCTTGTTCTACAAGCCACATACTATAAAAAAAAACAATAACGAGCAAGATCATTTCATATCAAAAAATAATAAATATTTTTGGCTATTGTTTAGGCTTGGTGGTTGTATAAGCGATTCCTAAGTATGAAATAATAACGGCAGTTGAATACAGTTGTAAAAGTCCATATAAATATTATCCACAGAATTATTAAACATCTCTTCTAGGAATTAATTAATACACAGCACAGATTAAGAACACCGACGAGGTAGTTTTTAACAATCCCCAGCTTTTGTTGCGTTTCACGTCCATTCATTAATTTCATAGGATGCATTGCTTTCTAGTGGGGTGTCCGGCAAAATCGATAGCAGCGCGCCGTACTCGCAGGCGGAACACAAAGGCGTATCCACCTGTTGAATTTCCGATAGCTTCGAAAAGTCGACGCCGTACATCATCCTATCTGTATCGAATCGGATCATGGTCACGAACCTGTGACCCCAAAACATGTCATACTCCGTATAACTGGAGCGAGCCTGCACCGACTGACCGGTGGATTCTATCACGCCTTCGAAAACCACGAGGATCTCTATTTTACTGCACAGCAAATCGGCTGCCGATAATTCATAGAAAGGGCTCTTTTCATCTATCAAATGCACCACCGTGACCGGCCATAGGAAAAACGTTTGTTCGCATTCATCTATCGCGACGTCCAATTCGATTTGTTCGTCGATGTCTACCTCTCTGTCTTCCGTTTTGAACCTTATCACGTACGCTTGAGGTTTTATATTCAGTATGCGGGACTTCCTCATATCGCCGACTCTAAATATTAGACAGAATCTGTCGTTCCTTAGATTTATAACTGCGTGTCGGCTGAAGAGGATCGTCCGCGTTCGCCCTCTCGGACGAGTCAACTTCGCGAAAAGTATGCCCACCATTATGGCTTGGAATATCGAGCTGACTATGCACTGCAGGCACATTGCGGTTATTGTCTGAGGACATTCGAGGGTGATAGCCCTCTTTCCGTAAGCGACTGTCGTGTGCACTTCGATGCTGAAGAGGAAAGCTGATGTGAAGCCGTAGAGGTTGTTGATGCAAGGCGTAAAGTTTGACACGTTTTGGCGCTGAGGAAGGTGGTCGGGGGTGAAATCTTCGTGGTTGTAAGATATTATCCAGTACACGGTCCCGAAGAAAAGCCAGACGCACGTGTACGCACTGACGAAGGTGAGAAGGGTCCATCTCCACCTGGCTTCGACGAGAGCGACGATGTAATTGGAGAAAATGGTGAACCGTCGATTCGTTTTACATTCGACGTTAAATTCGCCATTCTTAAAAACGGCACGTTGATACTTCCTATGCTCCTTGAAATTTATATTTGGTAAGCCTGAAAAGATAAGATAACGCCATATTTTATTTTAATTAAACATTCAACAGCAACGTTGCACTGCTCATCTGGATTCCAAAATCAAATAGGACCATTTCGTCATGTTGTTAACTGAGGTGGTAAGAAAAAAGGTTTGGCACTTTATTTTTACAAAATCTTCCGCCTTTATACATCGCCCATTCGCTTAGATATCTCACATTTCACTTGTATTGTACGGCTGGCATTTACTTACGGTTTTTTGGACGATAAATTCCTGGAACTACCGAGGGCGGGGCTTCGTACTCTCCGTTCGTATTCATAGCTGACCATTTGCTTCCACATACCATTACTATCTACAACATAGAGATGGCTCGATTAAATGTCACCTTATAGGCTTCTTCGGTTTCTAGTATCACTAGATTAATAAATCATTGATCCTTTTACCTTCTCTTAAGGGGCGTTCTCACCCTCCAAAGTGCTCGCTTTTATATCAAGGTTTGATTGTGAAATTGTCTTCTTTCTTTAATTATTATTTTCGTTTTAACAAAACACTTAATTTAATACTACATGCTACTTACATGCCGCGGTAGACCTCGTCAAATTTCATTCAACAGCCGAATAGTTCACCCGACAGCACAGAGTAATATCCATAGTTAAATTTGAGCGAAATGTCATCAATTCAATACACGACTTCAATTCACGTAGTATTTAAATACACTGCGAAGCGATAAGATAATGCTGACGTTAAAAATAATGAAAGTACTTACAAATATAGCGCGAGCCTTGATTTTGTGAATCTATCGCAAACACAAAGGCAAATAAATCGCTACATTGTTGCAACTTTCGACAGCATATTGTATGTTGATAGTATATATATATGATAAAAAATATTATTTGCGTGGGTATCAAAATCTTTGTCGTCATAGGGCTTAAGTTTTTATTTACGATTCGCATGCTAATATTAATATATTAAACACAACTGATCAGTATTACTAGTATGATTCCGTGTTGAGATAAACTTGTAAAATTATATAATTTAATGTTACTATTAAAGAAATGAAAATGAATAACTGCCGTATGCTACACAAAAACAACACATGAGACTTATTACCAAATTTAAAAATAAAGCATAATTTAATCTTAACGTATAAAAAATGTGTTCTGTGCTGCTGGTAAAATATAATGAGAAAAGATTAAGTGCTTAGAAAAGCAAGAAATGTATAATAATGGTAATATTGTTTTTTTATATACAGAACTCCGAAATAAGTAAAATAAGATACTAATATATTTAAATCATATTTTTATTTCGTTATATGTATCTGTTAAATAATAAATTTTTCGTGAGTAGTTTGAATTTCCGCAGGAATTAAACTTGTCATTTTCTATCTTTTCAAGGTTTACGTTTTTAAGTATTTTTAATCTATGTATCGAAGGAAGATAATTTTTACTCATCGGTCTCATGATACACATCTTGTTTGTCTATATTCCTAAAAATATAATTATGAAAGATGTACTGAACTGTACAAAAAAGTAGAAAGAGTTGTGTGCGCCATTTTTTTAATTACGTTCATGAAAATTAGAAGAGTTCAAAAGTAATTCTATAAATAGATCGCAAATGAGTAGCAGACTAAGATAAAGAAAGGTGTACGATATTTAATGCTATTAAAGATAACGTTTTTATGGTGTTTGCTGCGAATTTATTGCATTTAAGGTGGTAGAATGTTTGCTGTATTCTTCTATTCTTATGTGTCGCTGTCTCATTTCATCTCATTTAAGAAATTTCGATTATCCCACAGCATTCCTTTGTAACGCATTTATTATTTACAATAGTATTATTCTTAAATTTGATTAACAAATATGTTTGTCATATTCGCCTGATATTTCAAAAAAATAAGTTAAATCTGACTTCGACCGTCGTGTAATTTTTTTTAAACCTTTTCCTTATTTACTCGTACCTACTATGTAGCTCGACTTAAAGAAGAGTACTCAACTCAAAAGCATTATATTATATTATATTTTGACGTCGTATATCACAATTATTTTATTAAAGACAAAACTCGCAGAGAAAGACAAATGAGGTGTTTGCTCAGCTAATAGATTGACAAACAAACAAACATACACAGAGGGATGGATCGCTTGTCGACGTCAGGAAGTTTTCAGCAAAACGATGTAAGTTCGCAACTTCAATTTTATCAGGACAAAGATGAGTGCAAAGTGTTACGAGTCGGCTTCTAAACTTTGTAATTAACATCGAGCTCGTGTGGACTTGTAAAGAGATAGGCGAAAATCATAATCGAATATCTTTTATTTTCACAAATAGATAAACTGCAATTCATATAATTCCAATAAAATACTGTTTGTAGCTTACGCGAGTACACATTTAAATAATACACTTCAATGGTTTAAAACGCGGTTCCTATTAGCCTTCCCGTGACCACGGTTGCTGCAAAGCATAGGGTACCACGGGCCGAAGTTTGAATCATTTCCAAAAAAGTTTAACTAATATATATCTCGTTTTAAATCGTTGAAGCGTTTTAATTTTAATAAATAAAAATAAATAAAGTATTTTACGTTACACTGCAATTTCATATTTCATATTTCAAACTGCAAGGCATAGGACATTAAACCTAAATAGGTAAGTGCATGTTATTTCAACCCTAATGTGAGGTGTGAGACAAGGTAGCTCAAGTGGTTGATAGCAGCACCATCGCTGTGGATACCGGATCGAGTACCGTGCGGGTCAACAATATCTAAATACTAGTAGATTATTTATTAGAAAAAAACGCCGCATTCGACAATGATAGCTAGCTAAGCTTTAAGGATGTAGCAATGACGAAGACTACTGAAATCAAAGCCAAGAAACATCGCTTAAGTGGTATAACACTTCATTGAAAGAAGCCACTTAAACAAGTATATATCCTACATATTTTGGTATGTAATCCATAGGAGTTGTTATATTTAATCCCACTTTGTCATAACAAAACCCCGAAACAATTTCCCATCAGATAATGGTGTAATGAATCACTAGGGAGATTTGGAGCGAAGTTTGTCGACTTATAAGAGTATCGACTGCCGACACGTGTTATCAAACGACGCCTTAATTGAGTTATGCATTGCTTTCGGTACTTTGGCATTGGCGTAGTAAGAAACGTTACTCTAAGTAACTATAGATTTGATAACATTATTCTCACATGTTAGATTTGTTGAATTAAAAATCTATTTCACCTAAATACAGCTTCAGCAAGTTTAACAGCTGCAGTGAGGCTGAAAATAATTTGTAAAAGAAAAAAAAAGCGTTAAAGTGTGTTCAAATTCAAATTCTCACGTAAATTACAGACAGTATTTAAATAATTAAGTGTCAAGGTTTAAAAAACATTGCGCGAGAGGTATGTATCAATGGGTTGAAGGAATTTGATGTGTAAGACACGGTAGCTCAATTGTTTATAGCAGTAACACGGATAACTGTAGATGATGGTTCGAGTCTCGCTGGTGACGTCCATTTTTTTCAATCGATATATAGATTTTATATTTAATTATGGGTTCCTAATTACGTATAAAAAGTAAGTGCCACGACAAAAGACAACACTAAATAAAGACGCTAAACAAATATGTACAATAAAAAATATTATTGTAATAGATTTTAATTTAAATAAAACACTTTTAACAGTTTAAGAAACCTAATATATTAATTCACTTATTTTTAGACTGTTTCAACTAAGGCTGGACGTTTTAGATGCTTTGTATCTTCTCAGAAGCGATGGTATTTGGGGAAAACTACAACTCAGAATACCTATGCGTTTTAAACCGTTTTGTAAAAAAGTCAATTTATTTTCTATTATTAAATTATGTTTTTATTATAAACTATGGCCAATATATGACAAATGAAAGTAATTTTGATCTTAGTACAATGATGTGATTTAGTTTTATTTAAATAAAAATATCATCAAGGATGTTTCAAGCATTCAAAGGTTTGTATTATAGCCACCGGTGTCTAATCCTTCGCTGGCATTAAAAGTGATGTGCTTCTGCTAAGCTGCGGGCTTAGCGAGGAATGTAAGTATTAACGCAGCTGAAATACGTTTCATTTTACGTTTAAGAAATAACTAGTAAGTTTGTAGGCCACTTGACGGCGAAACTTGAGTCGGTACAACTTTCTTGATGACTATTCAAAAGCGCTCGAAAAAACTGCTCGCTCCACGGGCGGAGGAAACTTTTAGATATTGTATTTTGAACCGTATTTTTACTGGCTTTAAAATAACTTCGAGTTTTTTCAGAATACTATTAAATTTTTTCAGTGCTTGAACATATTCTAGGTCACAAATTTCAGCCGGGTGCTGTTCTTGCGCTTGCCACCGCAAAAGTAATAAACTACTGGATTCAAGTACCACTAATTTATAAATAGGTATTTTAAACGCTAAAACAGATTTTTCATGTCACTGTAAGTCATTATTATAAAGCCGAAGAGTTTGTTTGTTTGTTTGAACGCGCTAATCTCAAGAACTACTGGTTCGAGTTGAAAAGTTCTTCTTCTGTGTTCTTTAGAGTATTTATCGAGGAAGCTTTACAGATAAGTAGTTGATCAGAAAATAAATTTATAATCAGACTTCTGTGCCCTGCCCAACAATAACTATTTATTTTTTGTCCAGGATTCGAACCCAAGCTCTCTCGCGCTTAACGAAAGCTACGAGACACGTTTAACTATGTTTATTAAGGCGTTTAAGAAAACGACAAAATAGTATTAAATAAAGTTTTTTTTCTAACGAAAGAGTTTTTAGTTTTAATTAAATAAAAACATTGAGCAGACAACCGCTCTTTAAACTGCAACCTAGAATATCTATTCTTATATGTTTAGCTACGACATATTGTCATAGAATATCACATAACAAAAAGTTGAGTTAATAAACTCATAAGAATTTCATTATAAAAGATGGAAGCTGTATTTGGGACATCAGTCATTGTCTGGAAGAATCTCATATCCGACACTCGGCTTGGGTAAGGAGGAGCTAAGGGTGAGTTTATAACTTACTGAATGCCTAATCAATACATATATACGTACTTTTAGTAATAAATATTGCTTTGTTATCTAATGAATCTTTATGACATTGGTCAAGACGTGGCTTTAGAAGAAAAGCCATTTTTTTTTCGACTTTAAATTAATTAAAACTTTAAATTAAACAGAGCGATGCTTTATAAATATAATAAAGCATCGCGCTGTGACCAATACGATTGAAGAAACAGCGGAAAATATGAAATAATGGGGAATATCATTATACCCAAAAAAATATAAAAGAATGAGTCCTCTGCGATGTAAAAAAAGTCC